TGGGCCCGAGAACCTGGGTTTGGGCTAGATGAGGTCATTTTGGGTGTTTTGGGAAGGAACCCAAGAAAACATGCTGCCTGCGTCGCCCGCCCCTGGGCGCAGCCCCTTAAATAAATATATATATATATGTATATACCCGCGACCGCTGTAACATGACCAGTAGTACTGTTGTCAGTCCTGGGATTAATTGTCTCATTGATTCTACCAATCTAGTCAGTGCATCTGAATTTCCGAACGCCAAGATGGGTCCTTCTCAAGATGAAGCAAATTTTGGGGATGTAGGGCAATCAGAAAGGGAATCATGGAGATTACTTTTGAGGATAACTTGTGCTGACTCTTTTCCGCAAACGCCTTTTCTCAAATGACCAGCCCACACTTCAACATCCTTACTGGGATCTTTAACGACAAGTTCACGCGACTGGTCAGGATATTTTGCCACCTAGGCCGGAGTGTCGCAAACAATGCGAGGTGTTGCAAAACACCTAGCTAATACGTTGATGAACATGTCCTCATGTGACAGTTGCCATTCCAGGATCATGGGTAGTTCTAGTTACACTTATTTGTGGTTCTTATAACCCTGCTCATAACTAATGGTGAACATGTGCCAGCCAACCCCCGGCCCCGGCCCTGCCCCCCCTTAGCAGGTACTTTCCTAGATCACAGCAACGTGAAAAGCTCGCAGGCTCACTACAGTTAATACTAAAAATCCTGCATGACCTTAGTATACTGTAATACCATAGTTCCCAAGGTATAAGGCACTTAGAGTCATGTAGGCTGTTTGTTATCCACCGAAGTGCTTGTTTGCGGCTGGGCAACTGCCTACAGGCTAAGGTCAGATCCGTACAAGGAAAGGTAGACACTCCCTTTCAACATGAGTAATATTGGTATAGTACAATTTAAAATCATGAGCAAGACAATGCAAATGCAAATATAACCAAATGTGCAAAAGAACGACGGCAACCTAGACATGAGGACAGCACAGCTCCATGCACATCATCTGAACATGCCGAGGTCGAGGCTTTGATGCCGCATGCCAAAACATGGAATGGGCGTAAGATGTTAAGGTGTAAATCCAATGGATGACTAGCGTGATTCACATCTTTGGCTATGATCACTATTGGCGTTTTCAGCACGACTTGTTCAAAGCGTCCGTCATGAACACTTGCGTGTGGAATCTTTTTTGCTAATGTCACATGGCAGAAAAAGTTGGCTGGATGCACGCACTTGAATGGGATGATTATATCGCCATGCTGCAGCATCCAAAACTGTCCACCGTCATTTCAAGGGCTTCCATAGTCTTTCAAATCGCCGGTTATCTTGCGAGTACGTCACTTCGTGTGTCTGATCTAAGCTACCAAAGTATGCTGCGAAATATGTAAGCTGAGCATCATGAGGCACAAATGCAGCTGGCATTCCGGCTCTGTACATGCATAGCCACAGCTCACATGTGGTAACGTCAGTGAGATCGTACAGAAACATAGTTCGCCGAGGGACTTCATGTACAAGAGTTGGTACTAAGCATCCATGGCAGCTGATTTCGCGCGGGCGCATGAAGGTTGCAAAACAAATCTAAAGCTTTCTTGACATTTGGATTAAGTGCAGTACGGTCAGCGGAAAATGATGAGACGTAGGCTCATAAGGGATGACTCTGATGACGGCTGCCTCCAATCCTTGACTCTGACATACTCCACGTAGATCCTGTCGGCAAACCTTGTCGCAGCTTGCGTGCGGTTTCGGATTTCAAGGTTTAGAGTTTGCTTCAGAACCAACGGCGTAACGAAAGTCGTTCCGAGACAGAACTGACTACTCCGGGTCATTGCCAAAGAAATATCAAACAAGCGCATGATGTGTCTTGTATTTGTGGCAACCAGTCACACTCTGAGGGCTCCAACACTGCTCCGCTGCATCTTCAACTGTAGAACGTCCTTGGGTCATGGGGGCTTAATAAGGAAGTTCATGCCGGGGATAATCAAGGACGTTCTATGTCTTATACAGTAGGGGTTATCAACCTACCTACCAAGTCCCCCTGACCCTCCAGGTGTACTTAGCAAGGGCATTTCGGCCCCTGCCATCTCCGCGTAGGTAACCCCCAGCATGAAACAAGCGCAACGTACTTCTACAACATTGTATTTGAAGAGAAGCTTTCATAGGAGCTCAAGCCATGATATTCGTGGGTGAAAATTGTGATTCTCTGCTTCCCAATTCAGAAACCGGTGGTACTGTGTATTGCCCTGAGTAGTTGAAATTCCAAAAGAGACCAGTGACAATGAAAAGAAATTAGAAACTAACACTGCCGGCGCAGCTCCGAATATGCCCTCTCGCCCAGGTCTCCTACTCAAGCAGAAAGAGATACGAAAGCATTTGCCTTCAGCGAGGTTCACGTCTTGAATTGGATAGTCTGAATGATCCGTCAGCTCTTTCACATAAACAAACCTTGTAACGACATGTCCTTCCTTCAAATGATAGGGTTCATGGAGCTATCCAATGCAACGTCCAGATTAGTGGCCATGCATTAAACAAAGCTCTTCCAAGGGAAATTTATATTACTACTACTATTATTACTATAATTGCTATCACTTTTATTGTTCCTTTTATTTCTATTATCATCTTATTGGGTCCAGCTTGTTCCAGCTTGTCAGCCCGAGCGATAAGTTCACTTCTGCCTGGGTCCCTGGCCAAGCTGCCCTCGCCGGCTCCAAACGATGCACCTTGCAAGTTGCAGGAGCCCAGCATGTCAAGTGATCAAAAAAATGGTTTGTAAATCTGTGCACGAGCTTGAAAAATTGGAGTGCCTTTTCTGCATTGCCAGTACAGGGACTGTCCATATCCTACTTTCGGAGACCCCCGTCTGTATACCACCTTACCATGTGGCACAAAGCATGCGCACAAAATGTCACACTGCTGACACAGTTCACATCGACAGGCGGCTTTTGCGTGTTTGCTGCACGGTGCTGCTGTGCGGGAACTGTGCCCTGACTGATGCTAGAACTGATGCTAGAGCTATACAAAGAGAGAGATGCGTGCGCTGCCTCCTCTGTGGGATTTGGCGCCTAGATAGAACAGATAGACTAAATGTGCAATTCCATCTGAGTTGCTTGCAAGCAATCTTCCCCCATGCACTGCATGCGGGATGCAAAGCATGTGGGAGTTGCCTGCTGGAACATGAGGCTCCTCGTTGCTGAAACACGATCCAACCTAGACCTGCTTTAAGCTGCGGTATGCTTCTTACTGGTGACTAGTAGGGGATATGGAGGAATGGATCCCTGTAGTAGTTCCTTCCTGGTCCTACTACCCACAAATAAGACTGTCTCCCTGACCCCAGGTAGCCTCGGCCTCCACCTTAAAATGAAAACACAACAGCCGTTCCAGCATCTGCGATGCTATGCGAATTAGCTGTGAACAGCTACTTACGAATTAGCGGACTCCTCAGATTTGTCAGAAGTCTTCTTCTATGCCTGCCTGGGCTTGAAGCCCCACTGTGGCCGGCGGAACCGTTCGCGAAGCACTAGCCACGCCGAACAGTTGCTGACATACCTAGGCGTACCTGCAGTTGTCCAGTACGACTGGAAGATCTTGGTAAAGCCATTGTCCACAATGACGCGGCCAGCTCCTGAGGTTTGGGGCCGTTCACTCTCCGCTTCCTTGGCGAGCAGCACCGGCTTATTGTTCGACGAAGTTCCAAAGATCTTCCAGCTATCAGGAACAGGATCGGGGTAACAGATGGTCACACCCTCGTGGAGCTTGACAATACCTGCACAAACCTTTGGATGCCCGCCGAAGTGGCCTGGCTCCATAGGGTTTCCAGGCAGAAGCTCTGTGCCTCAGGGATGCCCTCCCGCAAATATAGGAGTAGTGGATGATGCTAGTAAGGGCTTCACAAGGATGATGCATGGGGATATATGATATATGATATATGCGGATTCTACTCCATTGTACATTATTGTGTTTTTGCCTCCAGGAGTGTTGCCGGTGAGCTTGAAGCCGAAGAGTTGTGGCAGGACTTCATTGGCATGCACATAAAAAGGGTCGTTATCACCCCAACCCACGACCGGCTTCATGGAACTTCCGCACCTCGGAGACAAAAGCTGCCTTGTCACCTGCAAAGCATTTTCCGCTGATGATCCAGGCGACGTGGAAGCTGCCTTCACGCAGCGCGGCGGTGAATTCATCCTCCTTAGTGCATGTCTGGACCTCGAAGCCCTTCTTCCTAAGCTCAGGGATTGTCAAAGAAACGAGGTCGCCGTGCATTGAGTGGTAAGCACACAGCACCAGAATCTTAAAGCCTTCAAATGCACCGTCGCGAGCCAGATCAAAGTCGCCACCAATCGGATTGCCGTACTGATCCAACTTCGCATCTTTGAAGTCACCCGCGATGGCGGCGTCGTTGTAGATCCCTTCCTGATTACTTCTGGCAACTCGTCGATCACCCAATAAGCACAAAGCAAGCAAAACTTACCACATGAATTTGTGGTGTCTTAGGAACGAGGGCCGCTGCTGCAAAGCTGCCATGTCGTCGATTCTGTCCTGGACTTCAGCCTGGATGGCACTGAAATCAACATCGGAGTACCCAAGCTGTCGTCCGCTCTGCTTGGGCTTCGATTCAAGACCCGCCTGTCATTCAGCCATGTGATGTTTTGGGTACTGGGAATTTTGGTTCAAGGCAGGATAGCCTCAAGTGTTCTGACAGCCTACCAAAACAGGTACCACATTTTTCTGCAGCCTCTGCAGAGGAGGAAGCTGCAACTGACCGGTTGCGGCGGTCATCTCGGCAATCGGCCTGCAGCAAGCTGCAAGACTCGCAACCCCGAATTTGAATCTGTGCACTTTCCTGTTAAGCTTGGCTTCTCCAATCCGTGGCCCAGCAGACGAAATTCAGATGTTTTTGCACAGCCTCTCAAACTGCTTCTGCAACTGGCCTTGGCCAACTGCAGGCCATCATCATTGAGAATGTACTTCAAGGTGGCATCGTGATGGTATCGCAGGCCATGCTTTTCATCCTTGATGTTGCATCTTGAACCATGCCGGCACGGTAGAAGAAGGTCCCACAGTCCGTCATGATGATACTCCGCCCGGTGATGTGGGTCACATAGCTGTCCACAGGCGTCTCCGTTTGGACAATCTTGCTTCTCCATGTGAACAAAGAGGAGATCATGATCACCATCGCCAAGATGTCGGCAACTGCGGCCATGCAAGCAAAGGTGCCGGTTCTTTCTCATGTGCTGCGAAAGGTGGTGCGGCAGGTCATCAACTCCGTAGACGCCGTGAGTAGACGCCAGGACCTGGCACTCCAATCCAGAACTGCACAGCTTCAATGCTGGAGCACTGCTCTTGCCCTTGCCCGTGACAAAGTGATACGCCTTAGACATCCAGCCCTCTTCAGGCTCGGAGCGGAAGGCGATCTTGACCTGGCCTGGTACATCGTCTTGAGTGGCAGCACTGGTGCCAGCTGCCGATGCGTTCTCCTGTTCTAGAGGTTGCCATGCGCACTCATGTTCCAGGAGGTAAGTGTCCTTGCTGCCTACGTACACCCGGACATCGCTGAAACTGATGTGGCCACGAGGAACTACAAAGCTAACGTGCTTTGGCCAGCACCCCACCCTGTCAAAGGAAAGCACACTGGACGAGAACATGGACGACACGCCCGCATGCTGAAATGAGATCCGGCCAAGATGACCGTCCACATCCAGGCAGTACATGGCTGATCCGTCCTTTCCAACTCCGCGGTTGAAGTGCTTGTCCACCGATGTGAACTTCCTGCTCGGGTCGTGCACTGTGCACTGCTCGCCATCGACTCGCACGAATGTCGGGTTCAGCAAGCCGCGGCTTCGGCGGTCGCTGGCCAGGTTTACCCGAAAGTTGGGGCGAGAGGCTCGAAAGAAGATTCTCGTTCTTTGCTTTGGCGGGATCTGCACAGGCAGCACAACTTCAAGGATCCTTGTAGGCAGCACTGTCCAAGAAAAGGAAGGCCTGGGAACAGGTTGCAAACGCTTGGAGCTCGCATATTTCCACTGAGCTTGTGCTGAGTCTGTACCAGCAACGATCTCCAAATTTGGCCCAAAGACTGTGCGCGTAGTGATCTGGTCACTCTCACTCATCTTTGCAAATGTGTGCTCTGAGATGATTACCCTCTCCACCCATGTAAGTGGCGTGGCATATGGCAGGTGGGTTTCCACAACATGGTGGGCATTTGCTGTCTTGAGGTATCGGAGCATGTCCTCCCTGGTGATCTCACGAAGTGGCTTTGACTTCTTGTGGGCTTCTCTGGCCAAGAACTCATGGGCCAAAGCCTCGTAGAACAAAGGAGAGCTGGGATGAAGCTTTTCTGCCGTCATCTTGTCGAATGCGGACGTTGGGGCAGAGCCTTGCCAGCACTTCCACCATGGCCGCTCAGCATCTCCGTGACCAGAGTTGTAGAATGTGGCTGCCATGGGTGTCACGAATACATCTGGGTGATGCAGGCACTCCGGACGGAAGATAAGGTGCACACCCTGGTCATGCTCGTCGCCATCCTTGTCCTCGCCATAGTTCAGCGTGTGGGGACCCAAGATTGCAAAGACCATCTTGTTGGTTTCCAGGACACGGTCGTACTGGTGGCCAATGCCAATTGTTGTGTGCTTCCCTTGTCTAGCAGCTTCTTCACTTGCTGCTTGCAACTCCTGGAAGGCACGCGTGTAGCCAGAAAGCTCTGTCTCAAGTGACTGCACCTTGTTTCTGCGGAAGAGCGTCATCAAGTGTTCACGCCGGGTGTTCAAGTCTTGCTTGGCATTCTGGATCTGAGCTTTCTGACCTCCCATGGCATTGAGGGCAACCTCCTGCCCCTGTTGCGGCTGCAAAATGGGATGTCGCGATGCCTGATGGGCCAACACCTCATGTCGAACAAAAGCATCCACAAAATCCTGGATCGCCGCGATGTACTCCCCGAAACTTGATGCAACCAAAGCGACCACAGAGGGCAGCTGCATAGCAAACTCACTGTCATGAGCATGGGTCTGAAGGCAATGCTGCGATCCCAGGAACCCGGTCCTCAGCACCTTGGCAAAGGAGCTCACCGGAAGCCGATGGACTGGGCGGCAATTCTGCCAAAAGGACACCGCGGCAGCCAAGTGTTCGCTGTCTGGAGCTTGTCCTTTTAAACGGATCTTGTCAATCAAGGCCTTGGCATTGTGGTGAAAGGACACCTTGACCACCGCCTCATCCTCCTGCATGAGGTGCTGACACGTGTTGTGGCCCCAGACTCTCCCTGCCGGAATCATCTCAGAGGGAGGGTGCGAAAAACGGCGGGCATGCTGATGCGAGTGCTGATCTTGGCACCTTGCACCCTTGCCTGGGTTGCTGTTAACGAACTTAAATTAAGTTACCATAACGAGTATGTATATATAATTATATAATACATAACAGGGTTTACCCACTATAGTAACTTCAAAAAAGTTCCTTAACAGCAACTTAGTTGCTGCAGCATGTCCTCACCAACTTCACCTTGGCATGGTGGAAGAGCGTAAGGTGATCCTGCCAGAATGTGATGATACATAACGATAATAAGACTGATATTAAGAATAACAGTACATAACAATAATAGTCGTAAAATATTAATAATACTAGGAATAGTCAAAACTCAAGTCACATCGTCCAATGGCCTAAAACCCAACAGCCCACATAACATGGCCAATCTGGTCAGGAGAACGAAAACTGCCACTTCGGCCCATGCTGTTCAGTCGGGGATTCTACTTCAGACCGTTTCAGCTACAGCAGCAGCCGCTCCTCAAAATGCGGGCGCTGATCTGCCATGCAGTTCAACCCATCTGGGCATGGTGGTCGCTGAACGTGAATCCATCGCTTCCTGTGCTGCAAGTCATCAAGCCTGAGAAGTTGCCAGGAGCACCACTCTTGACAAAGGCTGAGGCACAAAGTGAAGCTAAGTGGCTCTCGGCAGTCGCTGCCATGCGGGCACAGGTGTGCAAAAGAATCCGTGTGATGGGTGTCTTGCAGCCACTGACATGAAAATGGCTCCTCGCACGGTTGATTGAACTCGTGGAGGAAGGTGGCCGTGTGCTCGGCATCATGCCATTTACCACAAAACATGCCGGCCTTGCAGTGCTGGCGAGAATGGGAATAGAAGACTCCATCCTTGTGCACTTGGCCTTTAAACCGACATCGGAGTCCGAATGTACAAGGCGGCGGATGCATGTGGTCAGCATCTTTGCAATTCTCATTGCGGCACTCCATGCGATGTTTGAAGGTGCGAACATGCTCCTGGTATTTTGGGCTCTCTTTGCTGCCGAACATGATTTTGCAATGCTGATGCGGGCAGAAAATCTTGTGCCTCCAAAGCAACTCATGGTCACCAACTTCTTGGCAGTCGGTGTTTCGGCACATGTCTGGATGCCAATACTCCTTCATGTGCTCTGCGTTGTCAATGTCCTTGCACATGCCCAACTTGGGGCATACATGCGGGAAAGACGAAAACTTCTTGAAGCACACGTCCCGCGGCTCCCTGCGGATGAACGCCTTGCTAGCACCATTCAAGATCTGGCTGCGGAAGATGGCAAAATTGCCTTCTGGGTCGCTTGGATCGCGATCCAGAACTGCAAACTCAACGGTTTTGAACTGGCCGGCGAAGGCAGGCAACAGCGTCTTGAAGATCAAGGACACTTGCTTCGCATTGTTTCCGAAGGCCCCGCAGCCCAACGCGCTCAGCACGAGATGGTCTGCCTGTTCAGCTGCGGCAGCCTCCAAGAGGCTGACAATGTTCTTCAAAGTCCGCCAGTACCCCTCCTCGGAAAACACCAGACCCTCTCCTTCACGACGTTCCATGACTCGGAAGGCTTCCTGCTGCCCACCACCACTGCGACCGTTGTAGGCAGCAACAGAGATGACATCGAACAAAAACGGCTGCTCCAGAAGAGGGAAGCCTGCAGGGGATTGATTCAAACAAGGGCTCGGTACATGTGTGCAAGTGAGCAGTTGCTGCCTTCCTGTTCTGAACCGCGGAAAGCACAAATCCCACGCGAGATGATGGGGCAAAATTCACGCAAGGGATAGTTCACGGTTGCTCCGAAAGCAGGGTCCAGGGCAGAGCTGAGAGTGGTGCGCCGGAAGAGATCCTCCTCCTGGGCACGGCTGCCCTTCCGGTAGCCGCCTGCAGAGGCAATTTACAATCTGCTGCTTGCACTTGCTCTCGCTGTTCACGATAGGCTGACTCGGGGTGAGTGGGAAATAAAAGAATATTTTATGATACAGAGATTTACTAGCCCCCAGTAAGAATGTGCAGAGTCTAAGTGCTGGGCCTCCTGGGCTTTGGCGGTTTGCCATGTTCAGCACTAACAGCTTGCCATCCTTGAACCTTCGCCGCTTCTCCAAGGCTGCCTGTATGGTGTCTATGCAGCTGACCACAATCTCAGTGCTATCGAAACGCGGCCCTCCCGTCGTGGAGGAACAGGGGTCCATCTGAACAGAGCCTGTCGGAGACGGTAGTTCAACTGGTTTGCTCCTCGCGGTGTAATGCCCAGCGCTGCAAACAGCTCTTGTGTGGGCCATGACCTCAGGCGGACACTGCGTTGTAGGTGTTGCCAGTTGAGCACCTACATGAAATTACAGCCTGAGGATGGAACCATGACACGAAGAGCATGCTCCTCCTCTCGCTGGCCCTCGCACTGGCAAAGCAGCTGGCGAAATGCATCTGCATCCCAAATCTTCGAGCGCACTTCTTCTTCTGGAACCTTGGCCGATGGTAGTCAGGATACTATGGGCAAGACAAAACATCTGACATTGATTGTCTAAACAGCGTTCCTCATTTGAGCGGTGCCGGAAACCCTTTGAACCTTTGGCTAAAGTAGTGTTGCGCTATCGGCCGCGCCTGTCGTAGACTGATGCGACGGCAGGAATAGCTGGCGTGCACGCATCCTTTCATTTTACTCGCGCGATCATTTTCGCGGGCTACAGTATCGCACACGCCATGAAAGCTCACGCGCCCAATCTTTAGTTTAACACGCATATAAATTCCAAATGGTTTTTTTTGGCCGCTGCTCATTTCGAGCCTTCACGACAACAGGATTGCGCACACATGTTAATTCAACACACGTTGTTTCCCACCAAGTAAATTTAAAGAGAAGCCACCTCGTCCAGGCGAGTGAAGTTAGCTGTGAGCATGTATCTGTTGCTCAGACTCGGCAACGATGGAGGCGACTGGAATTCCAGAGGCTGCAAGGGCACAGAATAACGCGTAAAACTCTCTGGAACGTCTGCGAACATTTCGTCAAACGAGGCGGCAACGAAGACAGACTCGCTCAGGGAAACAGGTACGGCCCTTTCCTGGAATCCAACATGCGGGTGCGTGACCAAGGCCATTGCAAGGGGTCTGAAATCTTTCAGCGGAATCCTAGGAAGTTGGTCGTGCCAAACGCTAAGAACAATATGTATGCCTCTTTCTTCCCTCTGCATGTGCGTGATGAAGATGCCCAAAACCCTCAGCTTGTCCAGCTCCTCAAAAGCCATCATCATGTCCAGCTCTGGTGATGACGTCATCAACTGACATCGAACTGCCTGAACGACTTCGCACCCAACAGGCATGCTGCGAAGAAGCCGGCGAAACACATCAGCAGCGTCTTTCAACATGAAGAAGTAGCTACCGCCTTCCTCGCGAACACCCCACACGTGACAACCCTGAGCATGTAGCATGAAATTCTTGGCCAGCTGAATTGGAATTCTGCACTCACTGTAGGAAGCAAGCTCAGCGCAGATCTCAGTGGCCATGCGACATGCGCTCTTTGCAGCTTCTGAGTCACCCATGCTCTCAACAATGTGCGCCGGAAGGAATCGGCGACCATGGTGCTCATAGATGAGCTTTCCCAGGGTGATTGCATCTGTGCCGCCCATCATAGCTGTCTCCACGAAGGTTTGGCAGCTGTCTTCTGACAAGCCGAACAGTTCTGCAATCAAGCGATGTCGCTGACATATTTCCAGCTTTTGCAGCTGCTGTGTTGCTGCTGCTCGGATCTCTTGCTGCAGCTGGCGGGTAAGGAGATCCTCACTGAGACTGGCCCTGTGCACGACGTGGTGTACCCAATCCAAGCTGCTGGTGCTTGTGGCCAATAGCTGTTCGATCACGTCCTTAACCACAGGCTTCATGACATAAAGCAGGACTTGCTCATCTGAAGCCTCCTGGGCCTCACCGGGAAGCTGAATCTCAAGATGACATGGCTCACATCGCGCAAAGTACTGCAAAGTTCTCTGCATCTCCATGCACTTCTGCTTGAGCATGCAAAGCCGGCGCTGTTTCGTGGCCGCTCCTATGAGGAACGACTCCTGATCTGAACCAGTCAAACCGCGAGTCTGCAACAGCTGCCTGATCTGCTCGTCATCCAATGATCGTTCAGGACAGGCTGAAGTGATGCTTTGCAACACCTGTCAGGGAGAGCCAGCAAGTTTATTGACTGCAGGGAACATGTGCCATGTCTTGCCAAGGCTGCAGAAGGCGCCTCCTCCTTCACAGTGTCCAGAAGCGAGCTCTCCACACTGGCCCAGGCTGAAACCAGGGCAGCTGGTGGTGCAAAGGACCATATCCACTCGCAGGCACCGATCTCGGCGACAAGGGTCATAGAGCGGTCATCCAATTGACACAGGAGCTCTTTGGGAGTCTCAAAAAACCTCCGCCGTTGCCTACTTGCCTCCACCCAGAGAACTGCCAGCTGACTGCCCTCCTGGCCAATGGTCACAACCGAGTGTACCCGTACATCTGCCAATGAGCATCTCCTGGGTTGCTGTTAAGGAACTTAAATTCAATACTATTAGGGGAACCATATCAATTACTGTAAATACCCTTTATGGTAATTCAACTTAAGTTCCTGAACAGCAACCCGGTCTCATCATGATGTTTTCTGTGATAGGGCATCGGACAGGGAAGAGTATCAAGTTGAACCGGCAACGGATCAATACAGACTCACCACCGGCCATGAAGCTGTCCCCCTCCTCGTACATACCCATCACTTCCTGCTCAAAGCTCTCCTGGTACTCGATGATGCCAGCCTCCCTGCTTGAAGATGCTACGTGCTGGCCCCAGCTGCTCAAGGCCTTGTCACTGAAGTCGGATACCCACCTGGCATGTGGCAGACGGATTCCAAGCTGCTTCAGGGGCAAGATCTTGAAGTGCTGGTACGTGATCTTATGCAGATCCTCCTGTGCGGCAAAAACAACGCGGATGCACGGCTTGCCGAAGTCAGTCTGCAGCGGCTCCGTGCGGAAAGAGCTGACCCCCGTG